GACATTCCTGAGGCGACCCTAAAGGATAAGTAGTCATCGAAACTGACTGAAAAGCTAATGTGCGCTGTACTGAAAACTGTAGCTACCCTGATATTTCAAGACTGCGTGTGTGTGTGTGTGTGTGTGTCTGTGAAAGCTACCAATTTGCTTATTAACTCAATAACTTTGTTTGCTATTGTCGTGTGTTGTTTTTCTAGAAGTTTGTTTGCAGCTAAAAGGCAGTCAACAGATTCACAGTTTCACAAATTTCATATCATTGAAATCGGCGGATAGTGGCAGAGGTTACTGTCGCAGCTTTTAGTTTACATCGAATAAAGTTTCATTTTTTCAATCCTGATGCTGAACGTTTCGAACAACTTTTTCCACGCCGCTTGCGTTTCGTTATGGCTGATGTCGAGAATTTCCATCAGAATCGGAAACAAGGTCTGAACGCAAAATCGATGAAAAAACTGTAAATGAACATTATGCAAATGAGCAAAGTATTTATGCTATTAGATGAAGCTGATTTGAAAAACTTCGTAAGAGTTTCTTACCGATCCATGATGAAATACAGCAAATCGTCAGCCCCGTTTTTTTGAAAGAATTGTAGCCACTGTTTGCACTTTCCGTTAGCAGACGTAGATTCTCGTGGTCGATTATTTCGTGCACATATGCTCCTTCACTAGGTGGGCGGTTAGGAACCATCGAAGAATATTTTACGTTTTGATGAAGATGAGCGTTATTTACGAGTGGATCAAAAGGGTCAGTACAATCTAATTTGCCTTGCAATCATTCTTTCCACTGTTGCATTTCTATCCCGATTTCATTTGTTTACACCTGTCATTATATGAATTATTTGCCATCAGTTATGAGTAATTTGAAGCATACACAACTAAACATGACTAGGCTAAGCTTGAACTGCCCACAAAAGCCTACATATCAATCTCCTTCCTCTGTAAGAAGGGTTGAAATTAGAATATAAGGTTGTACGTACCGAAACTTGCGAGGGTTTTATGTCGAACTTTCGATGCGCTGTTTCTGCTCTCTTCAGTACCACGGCACAGGTGCTTTCGTTCTGAAACCCATTAATAAAAGTCTTTATCATCTTCAATATCAGTTGTGTATGTGCCACTAGTGCAGTCGAATTGACAATGTCGGCGTCGCCCATGAATCTCAGCTTTGGAAACAAAGATTTGTACGCTGGATTTTCTTGAAACAACCTACAATGGAAATGAGGAACATACTTTGAGCAATACGTGTAATCTAGATCTACAAGAGAAACTGCGGTCACAATTAGTATTTGGGATGTTTGAAGTAATCTTGCTGCTATTACCGTCACCTAGTGTCTCCATTTTACGCCTGATTTTTAAAGGTTTGACCTGTAAGTAACCCGAGTTTGTATTCTAACCTATTTGAAGTAGTCTCTCATATTTGCATAATGTGTCCGTCGCTGTGCTGTGTGCCATGTTCTTCCTTGAAATACGCTTGCTTTCTCGATGAGGTTACTTTCTCTATATTGTTACCCAAACAGTCAGTTAGATTTTCGTAACGGAAAAGTTGCTTAACACACTTCCATTTTCTGTCTGGGTCGTTGCATCAAAACAGCTCAAGCCAGTCTGGTCTCAGATTGTATGACACCTGAGTTTTCGAGATTCGATATTACCGTCACAATTTAAGCATATTTCGCAAGCAATGTCGTTTAAACTTCACAACGCTTCAGAGCAGTAAATGTTTCCAGAACCGTGGGAATGTGGTTTCTGTTCACTATCAGTGGGCATCTCAAAACCACTCTCAATTTCTATGGTGAAGACCGTTACAACACGTTTGACATGTTCGACTTCTTCCGTCGCTTATCATTTCTTGACATCATATGTTTGGTGTCCCCTGCTTCCGCCCTTCAGTCCAATTATTCCTTCGTTCACTCGCTCATTCATCCATTTAGCTCGCAATAGAATCAGTAGAGGTTGCTTGATTGGCAAAAGACCTGGATCATCGGAAGACCTCCTGAAGCTGACGCTCGCTTCGCCAGTTTGTAGTGGTGATATATGTAAATGAGGAAATGGTTGGAATCTTTTGTGAGGCGGATCATTAATTAAAGGTTTTTAGTGTCATGACTCGTATTGAAT